CGGGAGCGCCGCGCTGGGATGCGCTGGGGCGCCCTGTTGAGCTCTTTGTAAGGCTTCTCATCCTCGTTGTAGCGCTGCTCCACTCGCTGTGGGTCCGGCGTACAAACTTACTGGGTTTTCTTATTGAAATAGACAAAAAACTCCGCTACGCCTTAAAATTATACGTGTCTAGCTCCTGTGTGTCATTCCATCGGTAGGTCTTAACGCTAGATGCTGTTCTCATGTCACAGATGATGAAGGAGCCGGAGGAATACAGGCGTAATTGCACTAAAAATCTTCTACAGGCGTGATATGGAAAGAATGTGCAATTTCCTTAAGAGCCTAGTGACATTTGTGACTCGTGTTTACTTAGTTCTACTTTTTGTCCTTAATCCCAAATTCGTTTTAAAAGGCCGGCTCGAGGGTGGGAAGTGGCTTCCTGCAAACCTGCTCCAGCATTATGCTTTTTGCTTAGTTCTTGGCATTGGTGGGTGCTGCTGTACTGTAAGTCATAAAGAAAGCAAAGATTCACACTGAGATCAGGCATCTGACAGCAGAAACTCCTCCTGAGACAGGAACAGGTCTCTCTAATTGCATATTGTATAAAATAGCTAACTGAAAGCTATATTTAGGTACTCTGCCCAAAATAGATGTTTTCATGGCTTTAGGATACAAACAAACCAGCTTAAATAAGATCCTGAAACAATTGTTTGCTGTCAAAGGGAAGAGAGTTGAAAAATTGAAGACATGATTTAGCAGTGCTTTTGCTGTGTCTTTTTATGGGGTAGAAGACCTGCAAAGAGATGTCACAATGTAGAACAACTGATTTCTTTGCCTTCATCTTGTTCCTTTACCTTCATCTTTTAATTAAAATGAATGAAACAATCACCATTTGACTCTGCTGTGAGCTTTTAAGGAACAATGCCCCATTCTAGAGGTTAGTGCATTTTGAGGGTTGCTTAATGTCTTCTCTACATTTGAACAATCTTTTTCTGAGGGTTCTCTCTTTACAAGCCTAAATGGAAGTGAGTAATAGCCTTGCCAAAAGGGAAGGGAGGAGAATAAACTGATGGGCAAGTTGAAATGCAAAGAAGAAACTCCTTACAGGAATGTATTTTAAATGTTGTGCTGTACTTTATTTCTGGAGACTGAAAGATGCTCTTCCTTCTCCTGCGACTAAGCTCTACCGATGTATGTAAACACAGTTGTAAGGTTACTTATCAAGGACTCGTGAAACCCTTCACAACCCAAACAATCAGTGCGTGTTTAGAAACTGAGGAGTAGGTTTATGAGAAAACCCGGGCTGTAAAACATCAGGAAGCACTCTGAAACAAGCCTGTAGTCCTTGTCAGCGGGTCTTGGAAACTTAACATTAGGATAAGGTTTTGGAAAACCTTGACAGTCTTTATCTGCACCAGAGCTTTTGCCTTGACAATGGAGATTGGCTGTGCTGGCATGCTGTTTGTGAAAACAGTGCTCATGAATTCCTGCAAGGATGGGAGCAGCCATCCTGCAGTGTCCATGCTCTACTGCAGTGTGCTGACCTTTGGAAAAGAATTCTTGTATATGACTGCTCTGTTTGCGTCTTGTTACTCACTTTTACAGGACAGAGAGCAATCTGAATACGAATAGGAAATAGGAAACTAAAGATATCAACATTTAATTTTACAGTCAAGTAAACTTCAACCAGAGTTTCTTATATATCTTGCACTATTAATGCTTTTTGCTGTTTAAGGGAACAGGCTTAATTTTAGATTGAAGGTTCTCTGATTTTGTTAGGTGGGTTATGAAGAAGTAGAAGAGAAGGATTTTGGTACTGGCTTTATTTCCTTTCAATTCTAGTAACACTGTCAGGAGAGATTGTGAAGTGAGGGCTGTTCAGCAGCACAGAAGATGTATCCTTGAAGCCTTGTTTTGGTCTAGAGGTTTCTGATGGAGCTGTTAAACTCCAGTACAACTAATCAGATTTACTAAAACGAAGATCTTAAGATCTGCACATAACAGTTTGCATTATTAAAAACCTCTCTGCTTACATCTTCATGGTGGAAAGGAGAAATGCATGTCTGTGTCAGAACTTAGCTGTTGCTTTACATAAATTTACAACAGAAAATGCAATCTGCTTCCAGTGTTGTACAGTACCTCTCTCAAGAGAAATGCAGATCAACTGTTTTCCTTCTGTATCTGGAGAACATATATTTCACCTCTTGGTAAAATATATGGTAAAATTTGCACTTTGTAGGGCTTATAGGTATTTGGCAAGGCAGGAAAATGGAGCAAAGCAAATTCTGAATTTTAGAAGAGGTGAAATCACTTCAGCTCTTGCTTTTGCTAGAGTTAAGGTTTTATTTTATGTTCCTGAGCACGTCCAGTTGCATTCTCCCCCTCAGAAACAAACTGCCTTAGTTATAAAATCGCGTGTTTGTCCCACAGTAACTCATTTGTGCTTCTGCCATTCCAGGAAACACAATGAGTGTGTAAGTATGACATGAATGCTCTTATTCACCAGGTACTGTGAGGTATGTGCCATTTGATTTAGTAGATGAGGGGGCAATGAAGAATGGAACTATCAACTCCTAAATGTGCTTAAACATCAAAACAAACTTTCACTCTGGGAAGGGAAATGGCAGCAAGTAATTCCATTATGCATTATGTCTTTAACATAATCCTAAATCCTCTCTAAAGCTCTTATTCTACTCTATTAAAATAAAAGAATGGACTATTTAGTCTCTGCCTTGAATGATGCCAGTATTGCTGAGGAGTGTTAAAGCTTGTGGCTCCTAGCAGAGATCTGTGTAGTACAAGAATTTGTGAATCAGGATTCCATTTTCTATAGGATGATGGATTCTCTGGGTTGGAAGACTACAACATTCTGTAAGGTGATAGAACAAACAGCTTGGTGTAGGGCTGGGAGTTAGTCTATCCATGGGGAAATATCATGCACCTTGTTTACAAAATGTGGAAAACTGAAGCAGGATGCCTTAAGGTTTCCTTATCCAAATACTTTAAGCCCAGCTCTGGCATAGGCTGTGTTCCTTAACAAGTGGTGCTATGTGAGGATAAATTCCTAAGCATAGATTTCACTGTGCCACGTGGCTCCTAGTTGTACATCCTCTGAAGCTGTGAACAGCCCCATGCAATGTGATGTCTTTGAAATAATTTTCATGGCATTTATGCTAAGAATCTGACCTTAAGGTAGGAATCAGTACACTGCAGCTGTAAAGAATGTGTAAAGAATGGCACAGCTGTTGTCTTGCCAGAATTGGACATCTACAGCTTTATAGACAAATGTTTGTGCTCACTTGTCCTTGTAAGTCTGAATTTGGTCTTTGGCTTATGTATGGAGATGGAGTAATCCTTCTGGACAGGCTGCCAAAGTGAAGGTTAGCATGAAAAAATCTGGGAGCAGTGTTGTTTCTGTTCCATTGCCTAGCTGATAAGATAATTGGGAAGGGGCAGGAAAGAGGTAAGATAACATGTTAAAACAAGGGCATTGCAATAAAATGAAAACTGACTATGTTTTCTCCTCCAGCTGTAACTACTGATGATGCAATGCATGTCTCCAGTTTATTAATTTATGTCTTCTTGAAGTTTTTATTGACTTCTCTCTTTCCCATTAGTGATGCAAGTTCTATGTGAAAACTAACTAGCTGTATTGCATGCATATAGGTGTGGTCCAGGCGAGGAGAGGGAGGTGGAAAATTAAGAGATTTTTAGGCATCTTGACATGTAATATTCTGCACAGAGTAATTCCAGTTTTAGCAGTAACACCAGGATTTATTACTTTGTCACATTATGTTAGCTTTGAAATGACACCTGTCTGTAAAGGTAGTAATACAGAACATCTAGCACTACTGATGCTGTTGAACAAACATCAAGTTTCCCTCTAGAAAGGAATTGAGTGTTCAGATAACTTATTTCTTAATTTGCAACTACAGTCAGTGGACCCTGGAGGGGATTGAAGATGACTGAAGTGGAATTGAGATCAAGTGCCTGAGAACAAATGACATTTAAAATGATGCTTGGGAGCACATGAAACAATTCCTGTCACCTAGGTTTATGGGCTTGAAAAGCAGAATAGGTGCCTGTTTTCTCAGTTTTATGTCTTTTGATATTATTGTTTCACCATAAAAAGCATCTGAAACACTCATTTAGCACTTGGGTCCTGTGTGACCTGAGCTCCTTGGTGAAGGGATGATGGGAAGAGCAGCAAAGTAAATGAGTGCAGTCAGCTTTGGCCTGGGTCTAGCCCAGTGAACATTTTTACAGGTCTTCTGTGCTTATTCTTCTGAGTGCTGTAACGTGGGGAAGTAGCTAACAGACAGCTTGGGTAGGGACACTGGTGCAGCACTGGGCAGATGTGGGAGGTGAGGGTGGCTGGATGTGTCTGGAGGAACTAAGGAGGCTCCATGAAATAAGTGCCTTGCAGGTTTCAGGCCTGACTTAGACTTGCATTATAGATGGTCTATTAATGTTCTACTTAAGTATAAGCTAACTTTCTTTTTGGGTACTGGGGATAACTTGGAGCAGTCATAACAGCAATAAAAATTACTCAAGTATTTTATTAACATGCTGTAAAATCAGACTATAGTATTTGCTCTATGACTTACATACAAACATGATTTCTTTGTTTAGATCTTCACCTTGCTGCTGAGCTGGGGAAGACACTTCTGGACCGTAACACTGAACTAGAAGAGTCCTTACAGCAAATGTATGCAACAAACCAGGAGCAACTGCAGGAGATAGAGGTAAAATATTTAAGGGATCCAAGTGTTAAAGCATCTAGACCTACAACAAATAATAGCACATGAGATCTGAATTTGTTGACATCAGATGGAAAATACTGAACGATCTTTCACCACTTCTGCTACTTCAAGAATTTGAGAAGCTGTGGAGGTTCCTCATGCTTAGAACTGGTTCTCTGACTACCAGAAGCTTTGTGCTATTAAATGTCATGTTGGGTTTGGCTTGTTTAACGACAAATGACAGATACTTTTCTTTTTTGTACAGAAAAGTTATTTATTGCTAAACTTTCCTGATCTTGTCAGGTAAAATGACATTATATGATGACATATACATTAATAATTTTAATTATTGTATGAAAATATTAATGGTTACAGCACTGAAATTTAAATGCTGGTAAGTGCAGAAGAGAGATTTAAGTAAATCTGAGGATATGTATTGCCAGTAAACTGAGCTGTGGTAAAGGGAGCTGAAGTCTATCTTAATGTAAAAAACCAAACCTACAATGACAAAAAAAAGCCAGCAAACAGACAACAAAAATGAGCAAAAACCTCACTTAAAGAGTATCTAAATATAGGACACAGTGGATATATTGTTCTGTGTTTTCCAGGGGAAAAAAACCAAACAAAACCTTAACCATCCTTTCAAAACCACTCATCTTTCTGTATCTGAGTGGAAAAGCCTGACTATTTTTGGCAATTTTTTTTTTTTTTTTCAATCTTGCCTGTGTTCTTGCAGCCCTGGCCTTTGTCAGCATAATGAATTTTTTCAGCTATTAGAGGGCAGTGCATGGTCTCTAATAATTAAATTATTCAATATTCAGGACTTTGCTGGCTGACAACGTATTGAAACGTAGTCAGCACTTTGGCTCTGGTATGAATCACAGGGAACAGGCTGTGACTGGTATGCAGGAGGTTTTTACAGAATCTGAGCTCCTTTGTGCTCACAGTACTTCTGCAGTTACAGATGGTGTGTGGATTTTGTACAGCTGCAACTTAAGACTGAAAACACTTACTGTTGTAGTGGTAACAGGTAACTTAATCCTAAGCTTAATGCTTAGGTATGTAGTTGTCTTTGAAGCAGTTAACACATGCAGCATTTTTATTAAGTGATGATTAAGTGATTTAGGAACTGCAGTGATAGGACAAGGGGTAATGGATTCAAACTGAAGGAGGGGAAGTTTAGGTTAGATATTAGAAAAATGTTTTTTCCTGTGAGGGTGGTGAGACACTGGCACAGGTTGCCCAGGGAGGCTTTGGCTGCCCCAACCCTGGCAGTGTTCAAGGCCAGGCTGGATGAGCCTTGAGCAACCTGATCTAGTGAGGAGGTGTCCCTGCCCAGGGCAGGGGGTTGGGACTAGATGATCTGTAAGGTCCATTCCAACCCTTAAATTCTATGATTCTATGAACAATTTTGGGTGCAGGTTTGATTTGTCGGTTGTTTGGATTTTTTTTTAGAAGATGCTTTTGTTTTGTACCTTCTTTGGCTCTTTCCTCTATTATGTGCTAAATGTCATCTTTGTTACCCTGTTTGTTCCGTGATACAATGGTTGGAATGGCTGATGTTTATATTAGTGCCACAGCGTCAAAAAATGTATTTACTTATGTAGAGACCAAAAATAACTCATTGCCTTGAATAGTTTTTATAAAAGGATCAATTATTAGGACTTAGCAAGGACAAACACTTCCAAGGTGCTGTACAAATACTGGATGCTTAAGGTTCAACACCTGTGTGAACAACCAGGTTTAAGAAAGTGTTTAACACAGCACACACCTTTTGGAATAAAACACCACAACTTGGCCATAGATAACAAACCTGCCTCGTTGAGTGTAGCTGTGTTTTGACACTATCTTGAAACATGGAAAATATTACTATCTACATTCATTTGCAGAAATAGCCCAGTGCTATTAAGAATGTAATATCCTGTTGGTTTAAGCCAGTTCATTTGCTTAAGATGTTCTGGTGGGTCAGTGTTTATTGACTACTTGAGGCAGGTTCAGCACCTGGAAGTGTCCCAAGTGTCCTTCCAGCAGTGATCTAGAGTTGGTGTGTTGCAGGGTCAAGTACTGGGGTGGTCAGACAACCTCAGACATGACAGATTGATTTATTCTCTCAATATCTTACTTTGCCAAGACTTGGGCAGTACTGCTTTTTGAAGGCTTTATCTTTGTTCTCTTTCCTCCTCTCCCTCAGTGAGGGTAGGAAATGTATGTTGAATTGTGCTATTAGCTCCCTCCGAGAGGAGGGAAGAGACTAGAACAGTTTTGGTGATTTTTCTGACATATACATAGTGCCTGTACCTTTATTTGCCCAGTTTGCTGTGTTGAGTCAAAGAACCTGTGACTGTACTTTTATGTGCTGTAATAACATGCTGTCTTCTCAGTTCCACCACCTGCCTCAACCTTCTGGCTTTTCCCAGTGCCATTTAAAAGTGTAATAGCAACACAACACTTTCCTTTTTCCAAAGAGCTTTCTCTTGCATCTGGATTTCTGATAGAAAAGGGAAAATCAAATGAACTCCTTCTTCAAATACCCAGAGACCCTCCAGTGGAGGAACTGAATGTATTAACTTACTGTCACAAGGAATTGTTACAGGAATTCACTGAAACAAATGGGAATAGTTAGCACATGCAAGATGCAGTACTTGACTGGTAAGGGCAGTTCAGTTTGGTATTTTCATACCTGTATTTCTGTGTTTTGTGGGAGCACAGGATACCTCACTATGCAGGATACATATGCAAATGGCATATCCAGTCTCTGTGCTTGATTTTTCCCAATTTTCAAGTGCTTGTCTCTAACCTGAACGCAATCTTTCAGCTGTTCCTGTAGCTACTCTGCTGATTTTTTTACTAGCTTTTTCAGTGCAGTATCAGTGTAAATCTTTGTGGGCTTTTTTTTCTCCTGTTAGTTCAGATTTTACTTGCAGCAAAGCCTAGAACTAGCTAAAAAATCGGTCTGAAGTATGGTACCACCTTGTCTGCACTGGAAAGGAAGGGTCAGAGGCTATGGTATGCTTAAGATTACATCTGATATATTAAACTCTAACATACTAAGCATTTTACAGCTTTGGATCATTATATCTGACCTTTGTGCTGACACATGGCCCACTAACTAATCACAGCAGATGTAATAAGTGCTGGATTGAAAGGGCAACTCCATTCTTGTCTGAATCTGTTCTTAGCACTCAGACTTGGGAAATACTGACACTCTCCTTTTATCCTGTGGTAGAACAGAAGAAGTCTCAACTGCTGCTTCATGTTAGGTGCTCAGTTGCAGGTGGAGTTGGAAATTAATGTGACCTTCTAAAGTATTTATTTGTTTGGTGGTCTGGTTATACCAGGCCAACTTGATACCAGCCCTGAAGACACTGGAGATGCAGGGTGGAGGAAGTGGTGCTTCACCTCCTTTCATCTAAAACTTCTGCAAAGGGCCATTGTAGTAAGTGGTAACATCTGTTTGGGCACCAAAGCCTTGGCTTCTGTGCTTAGCCACACTGGTATTGCTGAAGAAAGTCTGAGGATCTCCAGTTCCTTCCTTCAGCTATAACCAATAGGGAAAGTTAATCTGAAATGGGTCACGTTGAGATTCTGCTGCTAATCTATGTTCTATTTTTGTGTAAATCCTGTCATGTGTGCACAGGCTACAAAAGGATCTAGCCCACAGCTATCATGTTGATCTGGAAGTCTGTATGCAGCAGTTACTAGTCCTAGATTAACTTATTAGCTGTTCTTAAATTGCCTAAAATGTAAACCCACCAATCTTTTAATGAGGTAAAAGGTTAAGTAGAACATTAGAAGTTTTGAGTATGTGACAGGGCTGTGTAAAGGGAAGTAATTCTGCCTAGGAACTTGCTGGATGTTCCTACTCAAAGTTCACTTTTCAGTAAGTAGCATGTAGTAACACAAGAAGTAAATTCTGTGTAAGAACAAAATAATCTGAAATAATAGAAGGTTAGTTTTTTGTTCAAGACTATTTGATGCAAATGCTCATGTAGACTTCTAGAACTGGATCAGTCCTGTCCTGGGTGGGATGATACAAGAGACTTGTATTAAGAGCTTCAGGTGATTGTTAACTGCTCTTAGACTAAGAATGCCAAGCTTTCTGACATTATTCAAGAAACTTACCCGTCTGCAATCAACAGTTGTTGATTGTAAAACCAAAGAGGATTAAAATTCAGAGTACTTCATGTGGAGCTTTATATTTTTTAAAAAGGCAGGAGACCTTTGTTTGGGATTACAGGAACTGGAGAAGTTCACTGTGAGTAACTAAAGATTTAAATCAGTAACTTGGTTATACTTCCTGACACAGCAGCACACAATCTGCCTTAAGTGTGACCACAGCTGACACTCTGTTGTGCTGAACCTAATGCTGCTTCTGGAAGAACCTTGGTCAGCTGAAAACTTGATTATGGCTCGTGCTGCCCAATTTTAATGCTAAAAAAGGTTGTTGGGCCAAAAAAAAAAAATAATTCTGTTGGAGCCCACTGCAGCTTTTAGGACTATTTAAGGGCTATTGGAGGCTGAAGGCTCTATCAGTGATGACTGCAGCACAGACCAGCCCCATGCAGGAGGTGTGGGCACAGATAAGGACGGGTTACACAATCAAACCCAACTCCTCCAGAGTGCTTGAGCAGCCTGGCCTGGCCTCCATGCCAAAGGGAAGCTGCTTAGCTGAGTTACTGGTACTGCCTTTCCAGCTTACCAAAGCAACCACAGACATTTGCATTCCTGAAACTTACTGCTTTCTCTATGAATGTGAATAAAATGCAGGATAGCAGTTGTAGCTTGTGTTTCCATTGTAAGCCAGTAACAGCAGTGCTGTCTTGCAGTACCTCACGAAGCAAGTGGAGCTCCTGCGGCAGATGAACGACCAGCACGCCAAGGTGTACGAACAGCTGGATGTGACAGCCAGAGAGCTGGAGGACACTAATCAGAAACTGGTCGCAGAGAGTAGAGCTTCACAGCAAAAGATCGTAAGGTAACAAACCTTTATAGATCCCTTCCCCCAGCTGATGACATCAGTAAGAGCAGTCCCAGGGTATCTGTGTGGTTATGAGGTGGCTGTGTCTGTCTAGTGGTGTTTTACAGTAAACTGAAAGGATAGTTTTATTTAAAGGTCTTTTCACCTTTTAGCTTGACAGAGACTATTGAAAATCTACAAACACACATAGATGACTTGCAACGACAAGTAGAAGAGCTAAAGAAGCCTGGACGGGGCCGGACGAGCCACGAGAGATCTGAGCAGCCACGATCAATGCACAGCTTCTCCTGCCTGAAGGAGCTGTATGACCTTCGCCAGTAAGGCTTTTCACCTTAGTAAAGGAGGCTGAAATTATTTTAAGCAGAGCTTTAAAAACTAAGACATAAGCACAGATATCAGACAAGCTAGCAGAGAAAATATCTCATGTTCACAACCAGCAAAGTATCTGCACTGTGTGGTGTCACCACTGCTGCTGACATGTTTCTAGAGCACACTAGTATTTATGCTCCACTTTCTGTCTCGACAGGTTCTCTCCCAGAGTCTCCAGCCATATCAAATGGTAGCCTAGAAAGCTTGCAACGATTTGCACCCCCCTTTTTCCAGTCAGATAAAAGCACACACAGATACCATGAAAAACAAACATCCTAAGTGCAGAGTATTTTCTGTAATTTTCTGTATCCCTTTCCTTGGATATCCATGGATATTTCCTTTCCAAGGAAGGCAGGAGCCTTGCAATAGCTTTCCTGTACTTAAGCTGGTTAACATGACATTAAAACTGGGACCTGGAGCTCTGGGCTGCCTTTTAAATTTAGAGCTGTTTGACCCAGCTGCACTGCATCAGTGTGCCCATGGGGACAACCACCTGGGATGGAAGCTCAGACCAGCTTCAAGCCTAGAAGGCCTTTTTGTAAGTGAAGTACTTCCAGAGAGAACAGGCTGTTGTGTTTGAGCCTCAGCACTGCTTGGAGGTAGCACTCTAGAATAAATTCATACATCCAAAAAGAAGTTAGTTCTTGTCATTTCAAAAGATAAGTAGATTCCTTCACACTGCTAAATGCTTGTGAAAGTACCAGCCTACAGCATTGCCTGGCCAGTTCTAAAGCTTGTTTGTACCATCAGCAGTGACAAAAGTTACAAGAATGGAGTGCTGTGGAAAATACCAGAGTGTCAAAGTACTGCAAGCTACATGGAGGCAATGTTTATTTAAACTTAAGTTGTAGGTCTGGTTGTTCAATCAGCTGTTACAGTCTGTAACTTGACACTGTTAATGAGCTGTCATTCTGTCTAAGGTGGGAGCTTGATTGGATGGCATATGAGTACTTACACACTCTGTTCTGATTGCCAGATAGATTGATAGGTTACTGAAATGGGCACTTTGTGTGCTCTGAGCACACAGTTTAAATGTCATTAGTTAGCCAGGACAGGAAACCTTTAGGAGGTGTGGTCAGCTCTACTTCCCAGGTCTGATAACACTCACTGTGTTTCTGCAGGTATTTTGTGTACGATCACGTGTTTGCAGAAAAGATTACTTCGATGGATAGTCAGCTAAGTCCTCTAGAAGAAGAAAATGAGAACTTAAAAAAGGCAGTTACAGTTCTGCAAGCCCAACTGAACCAAGAGAAAGAGAAGAGGATGACCATGGAAGAGGAATACAGTCTCATGGTGAAAGAAAACTGCGACCTTGAGCGGAGGCTTGTCGACACAGACTTGTATCGGGCGCGTGCAGAGGAGCTGGAAGCAGAAGTAGCTGAAATGCGACAGATCCTTCAGTCTGAAAACACACTCCATAATGCAGAGAAATTGGTGCCCGAATCCTTTTTCATTTCATTCAAGGAGTCTTTAGACAGGGAGCTTGGGCAGAGCCTGGCGGATGAGGGACTTCTGACAGTATCAGAGCTTGAGAAGAAGGCACTGAAACGGAGCAGCAGTGAAACTCTGCTGAGCAGTGCTGCAGGGGCTGACATTCTGAGGGGCCACGAGGAAACGTGTATCAGGAGAGCTGAGGCTGTGAAGCAGCGAGGAATCTCTGTGCTCAATGAAGTTGATGCTCAGTATAATGCTCTGAAAGTGAAATATGAGGAACTTTTGCAGAAGTGTCAGATGGATGAAGATTGCTTGAAACACAAGGCTGTACAAACGCTGAAGCAGTATTCCAAAGACCTAAATGTGGGGAACACCCAGTATGATCTTTCAGCTAGCAATCAAGAATTGACAAATGTGGAGCTAAGTGACTCTCCCACAAGTACTCCACCTGAATATAAAGCACTCTTCAAGGAAATTTTTAGCTGTATCAGAAAAACAAAAGAAGAAATAGATGAACACAGAGCCAAGTACAAGTCACTCTCCTCTCAGCCATAACCTTACCTGTTAGTCAGGAACACACTCTACATGAATGTCAGAAGACCCATTGAACTGATGCATTTTTTGAGCACTCAAAATTAATGTTTTGGATTGGCTGGTAGACCTGTAGTTAACAAGCTAGTTAGTTAGCAGCTAGTTTCCCTGTTCCTATGTAGCAATAGATATAATGTTTAGCACTGTCACACAAACTAGTGGATGTAAAGCAAGCAAACATCGTAGCTTAATACTACATTACAACTTCATACTGCACTAAGTCTCTGGCCAGAGTAGTAACTGGCACTAATTTCCTTAATCCACTTCAAAAATAACAGAGCTAAGAAATCTGTCTCTCACAAGAGCCAGACTGGAGCTTTCCTTCACTTCGCAGTGATGCTCTTAGCCCTGAAACTACACTGATGTAGCAAATTTACAAAAGCAGAGTCCTGACCAGTCTCAGGGGCAGCCTCTCCTCCATGCTCAGGAAGGAGCTGAGCAGTCTGGCTGAGCTTGCTTTGGCAGGGCAGTGAGGAGCTGTGCTTGCTCTAAGCCAATATCACGTTTTCACACGCTCTAAACTCTCCCACAGGTTAGTATAAATGTCTTCCTCCTAAGAAAGGATTTGATGTCAAATTTGTGTGGCTTTTTAGGTATGGTTTTCTTTGTAGGGCACTTTGTCTTAAGGCAAGATACTGTGAATTGATTATGTTTGTTATTTGGGACCTGCTGTTCTCTGGTGGAATGTCTGCAAAGTACCTTTTTATGTGTATTTGGTAAGGTAGAGTTGCAATTTAGCTATTTAAGAAGTAGTAGCATTGACATAGTGGAGTAGGTTTGAATGTTACGTACCACAAACTCTTTAAGTGCTTTAGGAGACAGGCCTGGTAAAACCTTATCCTATTGTTTTGTCTCTTGCTTCCAGTGTCAGCCTCTGTGCCCCTATTCCGTGCTGCCTGGGGGGTGGGAGGACAGACACAACACTGCCAGCACC